ATTACAGCATAACTGTTAATGGACTCTTCTAGTTTTGGGGAGGGTGCTGTTCTGGATTAAAGGAGAATAATAAGATATACCAACCAAATGTAGTATTTAATCCTTGATCATGTGCTGGATAAATAATATAAAAGCTATTAATTGGGGAAATACGAGTACCAACTATATATTCTATGCCAAACTTCCTGTGGTTATGTAAGGAGAAAGTCTGTATTTCAGGAGATGTCTGAAGTATTTAAGGGTGAAATACCATGCCTGCAACTTATTTTCAAAGGGTTGAGCCAAAAAAAAGTGTGTGTATAAACCCAAAGTGGCAAACCACAATTGGCTTGACATTTTGCAAAACAGAAAAAGCTAGACTCATTCTGTTAGGGTACAAGCCCCACCTACCCAAGGTAAGCTGTGAAAAAATCCCCTTCTTTAAATTATAAATAAATATTTGCCACCTACCTTCTTTAGGATACCTTTTTCTCCCCTCCCTTTAGGATGCCTTGATCAAGCTTAAAAATGTACGTACATCTTTAGTACAGGAAAGGAGCCTGTCCAATTTGACTTGTGGGTATATGTTTGGGGTACACAGACATTTAGTTTTAATTTATCTAGAAATTTTTGCCTTTTATTAACAGGCCTTATGATTTAAAAATAAGCTGGCTTTGAAAATGTGTTCTATTATTTACACGAGAAAACTTTTGTAGTCTTGTTATTTTTTACTTTGTGGACCATGCAGTCTTTGTCCTAACTACTCACCTCTGCCATTGTAGTGCAAAAGCAGCCATAGACAATTTGTAAATGAATTAATTATGGTTGAGTTCCACTCTGGTGGTACAGTGGTTAAAGCTTTTAGCTGCTAAGAGGTTGGTGGTTAGAACCCACAAGCTGCTAGATGAATAAAAACGAGGCAGTCTGCTTTAATGAAGACTTACCAGCCTTGGAAACTCAATGGGGGTCACTATGAGTCAGAACAGACTCGATGGCAGAGTTTTTTTTTTTTTGAGTTCCACTATATTTATGGACAATGAAACCTGAATTTTATATTTTCACGTTATGAGATGTTACTCTTATTTTTTCCACCAGTTAAAAACACAAAAATAATTCTTAACTTGTGGGATGTACAAAAAGAGGAATGGGCTGAACTTGGCCTACAGACCATGGTTTGCAGATTTCTGTTTTAGAGAAAAAGGAGATAAAACATGTAAGCAATTTAAAAGGTAGTGCTTATTTTTGCAGCAGCAAAATAGCAAGGCATAGCTGTAACAACCTTTAAGGGATTTAATAGTCAGCATTTATAAAAAGCTTAATCCTAATACCTATTATCAGTTTCTAATTGCTCAATGACTGACTCAGACAAAATAAAATTTAGAAATCTCAACTATTTAAATATGGCAAGGAACTCGTAACAACCACTTTCCAGCTGGCAGCTCAATCCAGTTACATATCCAATCTCCAGCATGTCGGAGAAATGCCAATGCTCTCTTCAACTATCACCATACCACCATCTTTCAAATCACCCTCATGGGACTTCATCATTCCTCAGGACTCCTCCTCCTTCATTATCTCCAATCACTCCATAACCTGCAATTTGACCTTAACTTTCCTCAGTCCCTTTGCTAACCACTTCCTTCATGTGATCTTCATTTATCCTCACAAAATTGGATTATAAGTCTTCCATGATATTACATGTAAAAAATTAAGCTGTACATTTTAAGATGTGCATACTTAACTGTAAGTTGTCTTAATAAAAAAATTTTAACAGCTATCACCCAAGTTGAAACACCCACACAATGGAATATTATGCCCCATTAAAAAGCAAGAGACATATGAACATTTATTGATATAGAAGCTGTCTACAGTAGTAATTTTGACAGGGCAAAGAGGAGAAAATAGTTTGTAAAATAGCATGCAGAAGTATAAACACATGCACATTAACAGAGAAATGTCTGCAAGGATGATCACCAAAATACTAGTGGATTTAAATGAGTGGTGGAATTTCAGGTGTTTCTTACATTCTTGATGGCACAGCAGTTGAGTGCTTAGTAGTTCAAATTCACCAACCACTCCACACGGAAAAAGGATGTGTCCGTTCTACTCCATCATACAGGGTTAATATGAGTCAGAATCAACTCAAAGGCAGTGGGCTTATGTTTCTCTGTATTGTTTTATGAGCATGTTACTAACTTTATAAAAAGTTTTTATTCGAAGGAAAAAAGGCCACCACCAAAGCTTCCTTTAAAAACACACAAAAAAATCAAAAGTCTTTCCTTATTATGATTGTGCTTAAAAATAACAAGATATACTTTGAGATAAATACTTAGGGTGGGAATGAGTAGGGATATAGATGAAATAAGACTGGTTATGAATTGGTAAGTGTTAGGAGGTTCAAACCTACCAGCTGTTCTGCAGGAAGAAGATGGGACAATCTACCTCCATAAAGATTTACAGCCTTGGAAACCCAATGGGGGTTGCTATGAGTCAGAACTGACTCGATGGCAGTGCTTTTCTTTTTTTAATCGTCTCTTCTTAGGTAAATATTTGAAATTTTCTATTAAAAAAAAATCAAATGAGTAAAAATGAAAGCCTTTGACCTTCTCCTTGAATTCTTGTTTCCCTCAAAGTGTACATGCTCCTACCATTTCAACCTTCAGCCTACTTCTGCCTCCAAATGTCATCTTTAGAAATTTCAGCCTTTGGTGTTTCAAATCTTAAGTTCTCTAGTCTCAAGTTCTTTTTAGTGTCCTAGGTTTACCCTGCCCACTGATGCCTGAAACTTAACAGGTACAGAATTAAATGCGGTATCTTTTCCACCCTGTACCAAGATCCTCTTGTTGCTGTTTTCTTATGATGGGTCTTCCCAGAATTCTCATTCCCCTATACCTAATTAGCCACCAAGTACACTTCAATAATGTGACTTTCAAAATTCATCTTTTTCCATTTCTACTGTTACCACTTTAATTCAAAATACTAATTGAGTCCCTGGGTAGTGTAAATGGTTAATGTGTTCAGCTGCTAAAAGAAAGGTTGGGGGTTTGAGTCCACCCAGACCTTGGAAAAAAGGCCTGGTGATCTACTTCCCAAAAAATCAGTCACTGAAAACGTTACGGAGCATACTTCTACTCTGACACATACGGGATTACCATTTATTGAAACTGACTCAACAGCCACTGATTTATACTCCACACTGCCCACCTTGCATCCCTACCTCTAGTTCTCCAGGCTCCAATTTTATCTTCATTGTTCACTGCTTTAACTTTAGTGAGGTACAATGCTTGGTACAAAAACGTTCAATAAATATATACTGAAGACCACCACAGCACTTATTTTGCCCTTTTAGACAACTGTGAACCTGTTTTCCCTCCTTATCCTCTATGTCCTTAAGAACAGAAAACATTTTGTTCATCTTGCATTCCTCCTTTATGTTTAGAGCCCATGACACCAATGTGGTCTCTCTCAGCTAGTTTTAGGCATACCTTCAGATCTTGGTAAATCAGATTTAAATGTGATTATGTATGTAGGTAATATAAAATACCTCCTCCTCACCCCAAAGATGCAAAGGCCAGATATGTCATACAATTAAAATTAACTTTTGGATAAAGCCCTATATTAACACTTTACCCCTAATCTTCTAAGCTTCAATTTAAATGTCATTTCCTCAGAAGCCTTCTATTCTCTTTTATGTCCTACATATGTTCCAAGAATTTTAACTCTGCCATGATATATTTAAATATGTGATAATATACACTAACATCTGTTCAACATGTCTTTCCCTACAGCCTCAGATGAAAAGGATCTAGAGGAAAAAAAAGGAATAGCAGTGGTGACTAGGGGCCTATAACACATGTATGCTGGCCCACAGAGGGACGAAACCTAAGAACAGTGGCCTACCAACTATTACACATCTGTGGCTGTTTCACATTTCTATTTCTTAAAAAAGGAAAGGCTGCAGGGGGCTTTTTGGGTGGCAGATCAGCCTCTTATAAAAGGTCATTAGCAGCAAAATTTTACTGAAATTAGTTTTACTAATAATTCCTTACATGACCTAAGGAAGGAAGACATCTAAATTTCAACCTAATATTAATCCTATTCCCCTGAAGCTGCAGTTGAAACTGGTTATATTATAAGTCACTCAAGACCTAGATCCTCTTTATTCAGTAGTTGATTTCCAGCATTATGGGGATTCTAAAGTAAAACAGGATTCGTGAGTTTTATTAATTGTCTCAAGAAATAAAGCCATTTACTCAGCTCTTTACTCAGAATGTCTCCAAACCTACCATAGCAAATGCTTTCATATCCAGGTGCAATACTGTACTGCTAGGGAAGATAAGGTAGGGAAGAGAAGGGGCATCCACAAGAGGCACGTAGTAAGAGAAAAGCTGGTTACCACACAGCAAATCCTCAAGACTACTCAATGACCATGTTTAAACTTTATTTCACCTATTTGGGAAAGGTACACAATTCCATCTGTTCCACAGACAACATTCCTCTAAGTCTAGGGTGCATGCTGGCACTGGCAACTCTACTCCATAAATCATTTTAACCATTCACCTAATTACCAGCCAGAGTACTCAAATATAATTATGTACCTGACTTTCAAATTAGAAGAGCCCTGGTGGCACACCGGTTAAAGTGCTCAGCTGCTAACCAAGAGGTCTGGGTCAAACCCACCAGCTGCTCTGTGGAAAAAAAAAGAT